TGGGCGTTGGGGGTCCCTGAGTGTCCCGAGTGTCACCGAGTGTCACCAAGTGTCCCTCACGACCCCCGGGACCCCCGGGGGGGGCGCTCTGAGTGTCCCCGAGTGTCACCGAGTGTCCCTGAGTGTCCTCGAGTGACCCTGAGTGTCCCCGAGTGACCCCCTGGGGGGTGGGTGTTGGGGGTCCCGGAGTGTCCCCCACGACCCTCGGACCCCCTGGTGGGGGTCCCTGAGTGTCCCCGAGTGTCCCCCACGACCCCGGGTCCCCTTTGGGTGGCGGTCCCTTCGTGTCCCCTTTGGGCGGGGGTCTCCCCGTGTCCCCTGTGGGCGGGGGTCCCTTTGTGTCCCCCGTGTCCCCTGTGGGCGGTGTCCCTGAGTGTCCCCCGTGGGTGGGGGTCCCCCGTGTCCCCCGTGTCCCCTGTGGGCGGTGTCCCGACGCGTGTCCCCTCCCCAGTACCTGCTGGACTGTGACAAGGTCCCGTCCCTGCCCAACGTCACCTTCGTCCTGGGGGGCAAGGAGTTCACGCTGGGCCCCCGGCAGTACGTGCTGCAGGTGGGACTGTCACCGTGTCACCTGTGTCACCTCTGTGTGTCACGTGTGTCACCTGTGTCACCTCTGTGTCACCCCTCCTCCTTGTCCCCAGCTTTGTCCCCAAGTCCCCGTGTCCCTCTGTCCCCATCCCCACCCTCCTCCTTGTCCCCAGCTTTGTCCCCAAGTCCCCGTGTCCCTCTGTCCCCATCCCCACCCTCCTCCTTGTCCCCTTGTCACCCCCCTCACGCTGTCCCCAGCTTTGTCCCCGTGTCCCCGTGTCCCTCACATCCCCTTGTCCCCAGCTCTGTCCCGTTGTCACGCGCCGTGTCCCTGTCCCCAGGTGTCGCAGTGGGGGTCCCCCACGTGCGTCAGTGGCTTCATGGCCCTGGATGTCCCCCCGCCCGCGGGTCCCCTCTGGATCCTTGGGGACGTTTTCCTGGCCGTGCACTACGCCGTCTTCGACCGCGACCGCGACCGCGTGGGGCTGGCACGCAGCAAGTGACACCCGGGGACACCTGGGGACACCCGGGGACACGCGGGGACACCCCGGGGACGTCCCCGGAACGCCCTGGGGACACCCTGGGACATCCCCAGGACACCCACGGACACCTGGGGACACCCTGGGGACACCTGGGGACATCCCCAGGACACCTCGGGAGCATTGGGACACCCTGGGGACACCCCCAGGACACCCTGGGGACACCCTGGTGACATCCCTGGGACACCCAGGGGACATCTCGGGGACACCTTGGGATCATTGGGACACCCTGGGGACACCTGGGGACATCCCCAGAACACCCCGGGGACACCCTGGGGACACCTCGGGATGATTGGGACACCTGGGGACATACCTGGGGACATCCCCAGGACACCTGGGGACACCTGGGGATATACCTGGTGACATCCCCGGGACACCCCGGGGACCACCCCGGGGACATCTGCGTCCTCCCTAGGACCACCTGGGTGTCCCCAAGTGACAGCCACACCTTGGGACCACCCTGGGGACACCCTGGGGACACCTTGGGGACACCTGGGTGTCCCCAAGTGACAGCCACACCTTGGGACCCCGGGGACACGCGGGGACACCCCGGGGACGTCCCCGGAACGCCCTGGGGACACCCTGGGACATCCCCAGGACACCCACGGACACCTGGGGACACCCTGGGGACACCTGGGGACATCCCCAGGACACCTCGGGAGCATTGGGACACCCTGGGGACACCTGGGGACATCCGCAGAACACCCTGGGGACACCTGGGGACACCTCGGGACGATTGGGACACCCTGGGGACACCCCCAGGACACCCTGGGGACACCCTGGTGACATCCCTGGGACACCCAGGGGACATCTCGGGGACACCTTGGGATCATTGGGACACCCTGGGGACACCTGGGGACATCCCCAGAACACCCCGGGGACACCCTGGGGACACCTCGGGATGATTGGGACACCTGGGGACATACCTGGGGACATCCCCAGGACACCTGGGGACACCTGGGGATATACCTGGTGACATCCCCGGGACACCCCGGGGACCACCCCGGGGACATCTGCGTCCTCCCTAGGACCACCTGGGTGTCCCCAAGTGACAGCCACACCTTGGGACCACCCTGGGGACACCCTGGGGACACCTTGGGGACACCTGGGTGTCCCCAAGTGACAGCCACACCTTGGGACCACCCTGGGGACACCCTGGGGACACCTTGGGGACACCTGGGTGTCCCCAAGTGACAGCCACACCTTGGGACCACCCTGGGGACACCCTGGGGACACCTTGGGGACACCTGGGTGTCCCCAAGTGACACCAAGGACCCCTGGGGACCCCCGGATGGCTGGGTCCTCCTTAGGACCACCCAACCCAAGGGGACCTTGGGGACCCCCTGGACGTCACCCCCGGGTCACTGGGGCCCAGGACACCTCGGGAGCATTGGGACACCCTGGGGACACCTGGGGACATCCGCAGAACACCCTGGGGACACCTGGGGACACCTCGGGACGATTGGGACACCCTGGGGACACCCCCAGGACACCCTGGGGACACCCTGGTGACATCCCTGGGACACCCAGGGGACATCTCGGGGACACCTTGGGATCATTGGGACACCCTGGGGACACCTGGGGACATCCCCAGAACACCCCGGGGACACCCTGGGGACACCTTGGGATGATTGGGACACCTGGGGACATCCCCAGGACACCTGGGGACACCCGGGGACACCCTGGTGACGTCCCCGGGACACCCTGGGATCAATGGGACACCCCGGGGACCACCCTGGGGACATCTGCGTACTCCCTGGGACGACCTGGGTGTCCCCAAGTGACAGCCACACCTTGGGACCACCCTGGGGATACCCTGGGGACACCTTGGGGACACCTGGGTGTCCCCAAGTGACACCAAGGACCCCTGGGGACCCCCGGATGGCTGGGTCCTCCTTAGGACCACCCAACCCAAGGGGACCTTGGGGACCCCCTGGACGTCACCCCCGGGTCACTGGGGCCCCCTGGATGTCACCCGGGGTCACCTGGGACCCCCTGGATGTCACCCGGGGTCACCTGGGACCCCCTGGACATCACCCCAGGGTCACCTGGGACCCCCTGGATGTCACCTGGGGTCACCTGGCTCCTCTCGGGACCCCCTGAATGTCACCCGGGGTCACCTGGGACCCCCTGGATGTCACCCGGGTCCCCTTGGGGGGGCTCCAATAAAGCTGCTGGTTTGGGGGCTCCTGCTCCTGGCTGTTTCCTGGGGGGACCCCAAGTGACAGTGACACCCCCTCCCCACCCAGTTCCCCCCAGTACCCCCCAGTGCCTCCCAGTTCCTCCCAGTATCCCCCAGTCCCCCTCTCCTCCTTTGACTCGTCCTCCCAGTGACCCCCAAATCCCCCCATTTATGGGCGGGGCATGAGGGGGGGCGGAGCTTTCTGACATGAGGGATGGGGTCCGATGTGGGCGGGGCTACAGCGAAGTGGGTGTGGCCTCATCTCGCTGCGGGCGTGGCTTTCTCTCAGGGCAGACTTCACCGCGTGGTGGGCGTGGCTTTCCTTAAGGGTGGGCGTGGCCACACCTCCGAGTGGGCGTGATTTCCCCTCACGGTAGGCGTGGTTTCTATAAAGGCGGGCTTTTCCCTTTAGAGTGGGCGTGCCCTCCCCTAACGGTGGGCGTGTCCTCCCCTCACGGTGGGCGTGGTTTCCATAAAGGCGGTCTTTTTCCCCTCACGGTGGGCGTGTCCTCCCCTCACGGTAGGAGTGCTCTCTCCAGTCGGTGGGCGTGGTCTCTAGAAAGGTGGGCTTTTCCCCCTCACGATGGGCGTGTCCTCCCTCACGGTCGTGGTTTCTATAAAGGCGGGCTTTTCCCTTTAGAGTGGGCGTGCCCTCCCCTCACGGTGGGCGTGCCCTCCCCTCAGTGTGGGCGCGTCCCCGCCGCGCCTGCGCGCCCCGCGCCCTCCCCGCCGCGCCGGGATGCGGCACCCGCCGTCCCCTCTCCCTCCCCTCGCCCCCTCCTCCTATCGCGACTCTCGCCCCCTCCTCCTGTCGCGACTCTCGCCATGGGCTGGCAAGCCGAGCGCGACAAAGTGGTGATCAACGTCGGCGGCGTCCGCCACGAGACCTACCGCAGCACCCTGCAGACGCTGCCCGGCACCCGCCTGGCCGGGCTGGCCGAGCCGGGCGCCGCCGCCCGCTTCGACTACGATGCCGGCGCCGGCGAATTCTTCTTCGACCGCCACCCCGCCGTGTTCGCCTACGTGCTCAACTACTACCGCACCGGCAAGCTGCACTGCCCGGCCGACGTGTGCGGGCCGCTCTTCGAGGAGGAGCTCGCCTTCTGGGGCATCGACGAGACGGACGTGGAGGCCTGCTGCTGGATGAATTACCGGCAGCACCGCGACGCCGAGGAGGCCCTGGACAGCTTCGAGAGCCCCGAGGGGCCCGGGCCGCCCGAGCCCGCCGAGCCCAAGCGGCTGTGCCTGGAGGAGGGCCGGCAGGCCAGCTGGTGGCGGCGCTGGAGACCCAGGCTCTGGGCGCTCTTCGAGGATCCCTACTCGTCCAGGATGGCCAGGGTGAGGGGTTGGGGGGGGTTGAAGGGGGTGAGGGAGCTCCTGAGGGGCTTTAGAGGGGAGGCTGTGAGGGGGCTTAGGGGGCCTCTAGAGGGGTTTAGGGCATTTCTGAGGGGTTTTAGAGGGGTTTAGAGCGGCCCTGAAAGGGTCTTGAGGGCTGTGAGGGGGCTCTGGAGGGGTTAAGAGCGCTTCTGAGGGGTTTTAGAGAGGTTTAGGGCAGCTCTGAAGGGGTCTCGGGGGCTGTGAGGGGGCTTGAGGGGCCTCTAGAGGGGTTTAGAGCAGCCCTGAAGGGGTCTTGAGGGCTGTGAGGGGGCTCTAGAGGGGTTTAGGGCAGCCCTGAAGGGGTCTCGGGGGCTGTGAGGGGGCTTAAGGGGGCTGTAGAGCAGATCTGAAGGGGTTTAGGGCATTTCTGAGGGGGTTTAGAGCGGCCCTGAAAGGATCTTGGGGGCTGTAGAGGGGCTTATGGGGCCTTTAGAGGCTTTTAGGGCATTTCTGAGGGGGTTTAGAGGGGTTTAGGGCGGCCCTGAAGGGGTCTTGGGGACTTAAGAGGGCTGTAGAGCAGATCTGAAGGGGTTTAGGGCATTTCTGAGGGGGTTTGGGGGGCTTTAGAGGGGTTTAGAGCAGCTCTGAAGGGGTCTTGGGGACTGTGAGGGGGCTCTAGAGGGGTTTAGGGCAGCTCTGAAGGGGTCTTGAGGGCTTTAAGGGGATTTAGAGGGGTTTTGGGTAGCTCTGAGGGGGCTTAGAGGGGATTTAGAGGTGTTTAGAGCAGTCTTGAAGGGGTCTTGGGGGCTGTGAAGAGGCTTAAGTGGGCTCTAGAGGGGTTTAGGGCATTTCTGAGGGGCTTTAGAGGGGTTTAGAGCAGCCCTGAATGGGTCTTGGGGGCTTTAAGGGGGCTCCAGAGGGGTTTAGGGCATTTCTGAGAGGGTTTAGAGGGGCTTAGGGCGGCCCAGAAGGGGTCTTGGAGGCTTTACAGGGATTTAGAGGGGTTTAGGGCATTTCTGAGGGGGCTTAGAGGGAATTTAGAGGGGTTTAGGGCGTTTCTGAGGGGGTCCTGAGGAGTTGTGAAGGGGTTTGGGGTGCTCTAGAGGGGTTTAGGGCACCTCTGAGGGGGTCCTGAGGAGTTGTGAAGGGGTTTGGGGTGCTCTAGAGGGGTTTAGGGCACCTCTGAGGGGGTCTTGGGGGGCTGTGAGGGGGTTTAGAGAGATTCTAAAGGGGTTTAGAGCATCTCTGAAGGAGTCCTGAGGGGCAGTGCAGGGTTTGAGGCATCTCTGAGGGGGTTTAGGGGGGCTCTGGAGAGGTTTGGGAAGGTTGGGGGAGCTCCAGAGGAGCTGAGGACATCTCTGAGGGGGTTCAGGGGGGCTGTGAGGGGATTTAGGGGAGCTCTGGGGGGGTTTAGAGCTTCTCTGAGGGGATGTGAGAGCGTTTAAAGGTGACTGACGAGTTTTAGGGAGGCTCTGAGGGGAGTTTTGGGGGGCTGTGGGAGGTTTTAGGGGTGTCTGAGGGGGTTTAGGACATCTCTGAGGGGATTTTAAAAGCGCTGTGAGGGGGTTCGGGGGGCTCCGAGGGGAGATCTGAGGGGGCTTAGGACAGTTCGAGGCTTTTAGGGGCAGTTTTAAGGGAATTAAAGTGAATTCTGGAGGGGTTTAGTGCATCTTTGAAGGGTTTTGGGAGGGATGTGAGGGGTTTAGGGCATCTCTGAGAGGGCTGGGGGGGCTCTGAGGTGATTTTGGGGGGGAAAATGTGAATTTTAGGGGGCTCTGAGTGGGTTTAGAGGGGCTCTGAGAAGGTTTAGGACGTTCCAGAGGGGAGTTAGGGATGTCTGAGGGAGTTCAGGACATCCCCGAGGGAGTTTAGGGGGTGTTAAAGTGATTTTGAGGGCGCAGAGGGGTCTCTGACAGGGTTGGGGGGGGGGTGTGAGGGGATTAAAGGGGTCTGCAGGAGGGTTTAGGGCAACCCTGGGGGGCTCTGAGGGGGTTTAGGGCATTTTTGAGGGGGTTAAAGGGATTTTTGGGGTCTGCAGTGGGAATCTCTCAGGTTTGAGAAGGCTCTGAGGGGGTTTAGGGCATTTTTTGAGGGGGTTTATGGGGGTCTCTGCGGGGATTAAGACACCTCCCGAGAGGTTTCTCGGGTTTGAGAAGGCTCTGAGGGGGTTTAGGGCATTTTTTGAGGGGGTTTATGGGGGTCTCTGAGGGGATTAAGACACCTCCCGAGAGGTAGG